TTCATATCTGTAATCTTCAATGACAATAAAATATTTAACGTCACCATTATATAGATGGCTTATGTACCTACCAAACATTACACATATATTTTGTACATGTAAAATATTGTTATACATATATATACAAGACAATTAACAAAATTATAAAAATGAAAGGTTGTTTTTTTACGAATCTGTGTACGTGTATGATTAAATCCTAAACTGTTATAAATATGTAAGAAATCTTTAAAGGAAGGTTTTACATTAATTTGCCTTTTAATATTATTTGACTTAGTCATTGCCTATATATTACTTTATTTTAAAATAAATTTTCAAGTTTCTTTAGTCAGTTTAGTCCGATGGAAATCCAAAACTTCTTTAATTGTTTTCGCTAATTTAGACACGCATATTTTAATAATATGTATCTACAATTAACTGACATTATGAACATGTGACATTGAATATTTTATTTAGAGTATACAGTAAAGTGACAATTAAATGGACAGGGTTTCTTCTTCAACCATAAACAGATTTCTTCAATTTTTGTACTAAAAAAAGATTTTAATAGTAATAATTGAAATTTCTTGAACTTTCGTTATTTACAAAGTACTAAACTATTATGCAGATGGACGTCATTACTTGTTAGTATTTACGATTCTAAAGTTTATAAATGAGCTAGATACCTCATTATTTCCTGCAACGTGAATGTAGAATAGGTAAATGCATACTAATAATACAATTGGAAGTACAAAAACTTTCATAGTATCTATAAAGTCATAGCTATGACCTACATTATACACTCATCATGTTTCTCTTGATGTCTACTCAGTATCTTTAGCTACGAAAGTCCTCTTTACTAGATAATATTTTTGAATAAAATGGAGAGAAGGTTCTACGACAATCATATTTGTTACTTATTAGATAGACATAGTTTGTGTATTAGAAACTAACAGTGGTATACCCAATTAACAATGTGACTAAAATTGAAATATTAAGCTAGTTTTTAAAATAAATATGACGGAAAATAACTTTAAACACAGCCAGTGTTTGAAATTTCAGATCCTACAATATGTATTATGTATGTATGTATTTTCCATGTCTTTTATTGGCTTTCCTTCCGGTGCTCATACAAATGAAGAAAATAAGAGGAAATCTTCCAATTACGAAGAATTTCGATATTTAAATAAAAACATAATTGAATGGAAATACTCAAGATCTAAAATAGAAAGAAGTCAGATACAAATTCAATAGGAGTAAGAGACAGCAATAGCTACTTATATAATAGAAAGCATTTTATTTGTGTGGCCTGATTCCTTATGTTTAGGTTTAACAGGACGTGACTCCTCGTCAGGAGTATTCGTGACATGTTTTGATTTCCGTCCGATATAGCAACTCAACAACCGGCTGGCGACTGCCAACTGAATGTGGCCCAAATCTAACAATATAACTACAAGCATACATCAATAATCATATAGAGTCAGATTAAATAACTCTTATTTAAACATGTCTTTTAATTTCTATTGAGCTTTTATTGGAATTTGGTTTTAGACGATATGAAATATATGTGAAATAATAATAAATATATCAGAAAAAAAATAGGTAAATAATATCGGTGGTGACACTGGTGAATGTGTAAATTTTGCACAATTACACTGTAACAAATATTGTTATAATTATGTTGCACATGATCTTTATTTAATAACATCTTTTTGGAAAGGGAGAAAAGTCTTTTTAATATTACAGAGAGTGATGATAATAAATAATTTTATATAAAATATTTATGTATATTAAGAAAAACATTTTTTTTTCAACTGTGTTCTCTTATATATCAATTTCTAATTTCTATATCGCTATGTTTTGTCCTATATATAGAAAATTTATGATCGTAAAATATGATTATTAAAAATATTTCTTAAGCCAAAAATAAATATAGGCATTATGGTTATTTATTATGGCCGGTAATGAAAATTTATTTAGAAATTGTGAAATATGTACATTATGATTCTGTTTGTATAATTACGCAAAGTAATTATTAAATAGATTAAAGACAACTATATACATTTTTATTGCAGTTTATAGATTATGGTACATATAAGGAAACCTATTTAGATAGAAGTAAAATACAAAGGGCTATCTTATCTCTCGTGCAATTACTTCCAGACATAATTTTGGTTACTACGTGGTATAATGTAATAGTATTGTGTAACATACAATACAGTAGTACATTTATGAATAGCAATACACTGTTATATTGATTCGAAAGGAAAAGTAGCTTAAGAAATAAATAATCTCTACTAAAATATTATGAGGTAAAGTTTGTATGTCCATTTGTCCGGGGTAATCTCTGGTTTAAAGAATCCTATTTTTGTCAATGAAAATAATAAATTGTTTTCACTGTTAGATAAGTATATAATCCCCGAGTGTTATAGGTTATATAATATAATATATAAGATAATATAATATATAACATCACGTTACGACCTATAGGAGCGGAGCAGGAATGAAAAATGTGGCAAAAAATATTCGTAAATGACTGAGTTACGTAAAAAAATTGTGTATATAATAATAATAATAATAATATATATATATATTTATATTAAGGTTTACTTACTATAACATTTTTATGATAATGAAATTTCTCGTAAAATAATGCTCTATCTGCGAAGTTGTTTTTATAAACATGGTATCAATCCTTAACCCAAATAAATACATTATCAAATATTGCACCCGTGCGATAGCTAGTATTAGCGTGAGTAGCTAGTATTCTGTAATGTTCTATTTCCATGTATGTCCACGCATAATATGAAATTGTACATATACACCAATTAGCACAAGGATAAAGTTGGGGTAACAATGGCATTATCTAAAGGTAAATATGTACGGTAACCCCATCGAAGTTAGCCTTATTTTAGTCGTCAATTATTATTTATTGATTGTCTATTGGACCTGAAGATATTTACCATTATAAGTTCAAATGTAAAGTTAATTTGGTAAAAGCAAGTTTGAACATAAACGTAAGTAAAATTTTTAAAATCAAACTTGATATCAAGTATGTACATAATGATTAAAGATGTATAATATTAGTGTTAGGTGTATATACGGCCTCCTGATCGATTACGATTTTATAATAGTTTAGTTGTCAAATATAGATTAACACTATTGTAAAAATATTATTAAAAGACAATACAATTCTTCTGCTGCAAACGTACATATTATTTATTAGTTAACATATCATCTCTATATAAAAGAACCCCACCACAACAATTAGATTTATATATTACCGTTTTACCTGTTTGCTAGTTTACAACCAATACCTGAAAATCAATTTAGACTCTTTATTTATATTACTATTATCATAAACAATACTGAAACCAGTAGTCATATGGACATATCACTATTAAATTATTTTAAGATGTATTTGGGTATATTTATGAGTTTCATATAGGATTAGGTATTACCTGTAATTTTGTTTCGACTGATTTCATTATGTAAGAAGTTATACAATCTATCTTCACGTTAAATTTCATTAAGATATATTAAACAGTTTAATCGTGAAAAATTAACAAACAGACACACACACTTCAGATTTATAACAGTGTATCTATTTTATTGTTACTGTAAGTTGATCTAAATACACAGGTACACAACTCGTCTATTTCCCACGGTGTTTATGAGAGGTGTGGCATGAATCAGTATCGATTGCTAGTTCTCGGAACGGTTATAAAACGCCTGGAGTTCTAATTATAGTGCATACGCAGGCGAATACCTTATGTCACATCGTACAAGGTTACTATAGCGAGGAAATTTGTTCTAGACAAGTTTCCGAAAGCGGCTAGAAGAAAGTACTTTTACTGAGAGTAGTCATGGCACAGTTTCCACGGAGGCGGTTTGCACACACGCCGGCGTCCAACGCCGCATCGTCACAGGCTTTCCAACAGATATTGCTATTGAAGCAACTTTGAAGTGCTCAAAGACTAACATGGCTACTCTTTATATATAACACGTTATTAATAAGCTTATGTGGTGCAAAATGCTGTTTACATTACATTTTCTAACAATGTATTTTTACTAAGATGCTTCTGCTTGATGGCGGTTTATCTAAATCGCCTTCGCATCTGCACTATTCTCATAATTCTATAATTATTCACTACATATTACTGTTATTTATAAATCGATTAATAAGGGCTATATTTACTGGTCAATTAAAAACATTGACTGTTTATATCTTTAACTATTTCCGGAAAAGTACTCGTACATAAGTTACAACTAAATAATCAAAAACTTTCATTAAATTCTATCCATTCACTTAATAAATCAATATTACAGATTCCCGGTCAGTTTAATTATTATTTAGTAGTAATTTTTACAATTTTGCGTAGTACCTATCATTACAGTGTGTCTCACTCTAAAATTTTGTAAATGTACTGAAAATTAATATTACTTCATAAAACTTAAATCCACTATCTATGACGTTACACCCGCTGATAATACAGTACCAAATCTATTCATTATATTATACATACATAAATACTGTAATATTGAAAGAAGCAAAATTATAATTTATGGCTAGAATAAAGATTTGGCTTTAAAATTTATTAACGCATTAAAAGTAATCAGATAACAACAGTAACTTTGATATTTATTATATTTCATATCAAGACAAATTATATATAAACGCCGTCAAATTTACTCTTTCTATTAGTTTATTCCGAACTACAAAGCAAAGGTAAGCAATTTAATTAAAGTGGGTAGTTCTTTAATATTAAAATTGCAGTAATAAGATATTGAGATACAAGTAGTCATTTTGTAAAATAGTGCATCAATGTAACCACTGTATTCTATAGATAATGGTGTTTCGTAAAAATATAGAGATACTACCCTACAATCCTATCTTATTTTCATATACCTATTGCATAGCTGTTGTTTGTAACAAATAAATAAAATTATTAAAAAGTACTTCAAATTATCAATAATATATAAATGCGTAGTGTTAATTAATTATTTTTGTTGCAGTAAAAATTATGAAGACCTACGTCGCACTTTTAGCCCTCGTGGCCGTGGCTGCCGCCAACCCCCTGCCTTTGGTGCAAATCATCGTGAATGTCGATGGTCCCGCCAGTGGAAACCCTGTTCTGATTGAGGACAACACACCACCGGAAACTATCATCGTCCCCACCCCCGTTTTGCCCGAAATCGTGCCTGAGCCCATCGAACTTCCCCAGCCTGTCCTACCTGAGATCGTACCAGAGCCCATCGAACTTCCCCAGCCTGTCCTTCCTGAGGTCGTACCTGAGCCCATCGAACTTCCCCAGCCTGTTCTTCCTGAAGTCGTACCTGAACCCATCGTACTTCCCGAGCCCGTTCTTCCCCAGCCCGTACCTGAGCCCGTCCAACTTCCCCAGCCCGTTCTTCCCGAGATTATCCCCGCCCCCATCGTTCTCCCCTCACCCGTACAGCCCGTCATCGTTCCTGAGCCCGTGATCCTTCCCGGTGAACTCAACTAAAGTATAAACTGTGCAACTTAGCTTCTGAGTTCATTCTAAACAAAAGGTACTCGCATTTAGGTGCGACACCTTACGTACTTCTTATTTTTACTGAATGCTATAATATGAAGTGACTTGAATAAATTAAGTTTACATAAAATTTTTAAATAGTCATAATAAACCTATATCCTCCACAATTTTGTATTTTGATTTAATGAGACGTTAAGTTTGGGTGTCCTCATTGTGAGCTCTTTATAATGTAAGTTTAGTTCTAATTACATAAATATTTCAATTACCAAAACATAATTTTAAATTAACCTGATATTCTCATCCTTTATGTGATTGTCTATAGCTATAGATTTGTATATGGTATTTAAATACCTATACTATTGTGATTGGTATGAGTACCTTATGTTTATTTATATTCTACAGCTTGGTGTAACTTAGCATATTGAGTAGGTAGGCATATATGTACGTAGTGGTCATTTCTCTCCTGTATTCGCAAATAGGATAATCAGCTTAATATTTGGCCTCTCCACAATTTTATTACAATATTTGAATTCTACTCTAATGGGTATAAATTGTATGAAAGCAGTTAGTTAACGTACGGCAGGATAAATACTGAACTATATATAGGAATCAATTGTTAAGAGGGTGAATAAAAATTAAACAATTTAGTATGGTGATAATGTACTCTAGCCCATTTCTTGAAATACTAGGCATAATTCATCTCTCACCAACATACTAATTACTACTATTACTACTACTTATGTTACTTCCATTTTGACGTTTTGAGTTGACCTATATGTATTTGGAAGTATTTTGGTTTAGTACGTACTCGTACCTACCTGTCACATTATAACATGATGTGATATTTATTGATATTATGTTTCTATCTAAAAATAACAAATAACCGAAAGAATATTTGATTATAGAATTAGGTATTTAATATGAAGGTGCTAAAATATGAAAGTATTGTGAACATTAATCCTATTAACTTTTAAGAGATTATGCCTTGTATTTTTTGTTTAAAATTTATATTTTTAATTATTGTATTTTTTTAATATACAATAATTAACATACTAAAAAATTATGCTTATAGTTTCTGAGAAATGAGTGTATTTGTATAAGAACAACAGAAAGTTAAGTAAGTTTAAAAACAAGAAAAACGGAAACGGAAAACGTGCCAAGGAAGAATGTCACCTAGATAACATCAATTAACAATATTGAAAGACGACAATGATGTAGCTAGGGTTTATCTGCTACTAAAGAACATTACCTGCCAAATACTATTCAAACTATTGGTGGATAGATTCTCAAGACCTACTGTGTATAAAAAAATTGCTTTTGTATGTGTATAAATTTATAATAGTCTCCCAGAAGCCCTCAAAGAAATACAGACATCACTACAATTGTACAGTCAATTAATTTTTGATAGACTAAAACTGCAATTTTAATGTTAGTTTTCCATAGTTAGGAAATGTGTTGGATGTATGCTGTATAGGCTAAATATGTAATTCTTATCTATATTTTTTTTACAAGTATTTGAGTATTTGACGCAATAAAGACGCTATTATTTTTATTAAACTAGCTATGCGTGGGCATTTCACCCGCATGATATTTATTATTACTGTAAAGTTTCGTCAAAATGCGTTCAGTACTTTTTGCGTGAAAAAGTAACAAATGTACATTCTACCATATATCCAACCATAACCGTAACGGGTGATGTTCGTAGTGCTCTTCATGTATATAGGAGATAGTTACCACTTATTATTAGCTGGACCGTCTGATAGTTAGGCATTCCAAATACTTAAAAAAAAATTGACCACATATGTAGATTCGTTTATGCAGATCATACTTACATTATAAATGCGAAAGTATGTCCGTCTCTATGTTTGTTGTTCACGACGAAACGGATGAATTGATTACTGAAATATCATGTATAAATAGATTGTGTAACAAGGATGGACATATGCTATCTTTCATCTAAAAAAAGCAGGCGAATTCGTGGATAACATCTAGTACAATATAGGTACAAATCTAAGAACAGTATTCCAAAATGTTTTTAATGTAACTACTACTACGAGAAAATTCGAGTTCGCGCAGGAGGAAGCTCTTTTGAAACCAGGCTGTCCTACTAACAGGTTGCAAGGTTAAATTACCTGTCGAGTTGTAGGTACTTACTATTGTAATCAGATAAAAAAAATGAGTAGAGTGATATACGAGTAATGTAATAATTGACAGTGATTTTCATTAATTGATACTTTCGGTGAAAAGGTTATTCATCTTATATTATTAGTACAATAGTTATATTCCTTCTACTTACTACTTCACACCCTTTAGATACTCTTTGAAATTGTAAATATATTTTAATTTTTATTAAAAAGACATAAAGTGAAATTTATATAGTACCTAATTTATTCCATAATATATCACTATTAGCGTACACAAAATGAAAAGTGGAAGATTTAGCGATAAATATAATCTTCTGAAATATGCACAGGGTTATGGTTGTAAATGAAATAAATTATTCATTGCACATTGATTTAATAATTACATAAGGAAGTACAATTTTAAAATAAATAGGTTATTTGACGAAGCAAATTGAATGATATATTAAATGTAAGTATATAAATATTCATCTCTTGATCAATTTATTATAGAACGGCCAGCAGTAAGTGTAGAAGTGATGAGCAGGATTTTAAATAACTAATTTAGTTAATAATAGCAGGAAGAGGCTGAGCTACCTGCTGGGGAATAATGTAAGGAAGAGATACAATGGGTTGAGGCACAAACTCGGGAACTACGATGGGTTCAGGTACTATCTCAGGGAGCTCTATGGGTTCGGGGGCAATCTCAGGAAGGGCGGGCGAGGGAAGCACGATGGGCTCAGGCAATAATTCAGGTAGAACAGGCTCAGGGAGTACAATGGGCTCAGGTACAAGTTCGGGAAGAACAGGTTCGGGGAGAATGATTGGGTCGGGTACAACTTCTGGTGCGTTTTCAACAACGATGACGGGATGCGGTGCTGGGTCGATGACGGGCAGAGTAGGTGTAGGCAAGACAATGGGACCAACGACAATTGGTTCTTCGTCTATGATGGAAACGGGGTTCCCGTTAGAGGGTGCATCCACATTAACTATGATCTGCACCAAGGGTAGTGGGTTAGCCACAGCTAATGCCACCAAGGCAGAGAGTGCGATGAAAGTCTTCATGATGTTTGTTTATAGCTGGAACAAAATGATATAATTAAATTATTTCATCAATTGCAGAATAAATATTCATTTAAGTTAACTAGTTAGACACTTTAGCTACTATTAATATTCTTTGGGATATTTTTTTTACAATACAAACTTTAATACTAGTATTATACTTTAATATTATACATAATATTACTGTAATAATTTGGAGTTTAAGTGAAATATTATTACTTGTAAACTCACCTTCGTTGACAATGCCTGTGCGAACTATAGGTCCAGATATACAGTAAAGGATATTTATAATAATTTGAGGTAATAAAATAATACGTTTTTATTAGTAAGATAGCGTTTTGATACCTTCCGTTGATACGGATTCATTAGTACATATATATTGTCATAAAATAATAAAAAGAAGTAAGGAACTATTGAGGTAGATATTAATAACTGGAATTTGTAGACAGGCATTAAATTAATGTTGTGATAAGAGAATGATTAGGGAGAGACACGATCTTAGCCTGCATCATTATCTGGTAACCAGACTGAATTGTAGCTATTCATAATATTTATATTTCAATAATTTTGTGGTAATGAGATATCAATCACACAGACATCAATTCTAAAATTTCTGTACAATTCGAGAGTGTATGCCAATTTGTATGAAAAGGAATTTAAAATACATTTTTGATACATACAATTTTATTATAACTCTGTTACATTGTTGTTTACTTAAAGTGAATGACTCAATTTTTATTGGTTGATAATATATCATTAAGTAATAATAATAAACACGAAAATACATGACTTCCAAAAAATAATAAATGCAGTTATATTGTTATAGTCTATTTATCAAATATATAAATTATTCAGCATAAAAACTATACAAAATAATGTTAAAAGTAATATTACTAAAGGTAGAAAGTTTTATTTAGATAAATATAATTTGTCCGGGCCTGCATCTCAATAGCTGCAATGTTACAGGTTGTACGAGATGCGGATTGTCTGACTCATGCATTCTTAATCGATGAAGTCACTACCTGGGGTTGAATGAAATAAAAATAATACATGACGATGCAAGGGATAACTTTTTGCATAACGTTACAACCTTTTTTTTTCAGGATATTGTGAAGTCGATTAATTGTGGGATTATTTCTTAATGTTTTACTCGCACGGAATGGTGAATTATCACTTAGATTCTTTTTTACTTACGTCATATAAAAGACTCTCAGTACCATTTAATATTTATACGCTCAGATATGGTCATGTATAATCTAGATGACAGACCTATGATCCAATTAAACAATAAGGTACAGCTTCACATATTAAAGGTTTAATATGTGAAGCTGTATCTACTTGTTTTATATGCCGATTCTGATATTTGAGCTATCTACCTGTTCAATTATATGGTTGTATAAATTTTAATAGTTTTGCTACTTTCTGTAAATAATTAAACGGTTACCACTTCGTATATTAACTAATTGGTAACTATCGGTAGTGGGTCCTATTAATTTAATTTTTTTGCGCACAAACCAAGTAATTTTGCAGAAGTCATCTAAAAGGTTTCAGATACATAGCGTGTCCCCGTATAAAACGTAATAATAAATTAACTCCGCCTCATGTTTTCGGACATAATAAAGATAAATTTACTTTACTTTTTTATTACTTAAAATTACTTGCTTAAAATAACAACAACAACAACACATCAAACCCAGTACAATGGATATTACTAAAGAATATCCTGCAATTTCTGATAGCACAATTATTTACATTCACGCTTCGTTACAAAAATACAAAAGAGTCGACTCAACAGTGACTTTTGAAAATATTCTATAAATCATGTGCATAAATTATAATGGGGTCATGAACGTTCAAATTTAAGCAAAATCTAAAGTTTTTATAAACGCCCAAACCCGCATTAGTTCTTGAAAGTGACCTTTGAATGTCACTGACAAATGTTACCGTGACTCGAACGTCAGGAGGTAGAAAAAATACACAATTGTCGACTTTTTGTTCGCGCGTTTATTTTCCATGGCTTATAGAAGTATATGAAACATCTTTTAAACTATAGTGTTGTATCGAATGTAACCATACATACATTGTTGTGTCCCTTTTTTAATATAGGTATATGATCTTCAGAGTTTATTTATATTGTTTAATACTACAATGTAGATTTATGAGTAGATTGAATTTGAATAAATCCTTGTATAAAGTCTCAATATTATGAGTTAAAAGAAGAGTAGCATAGGTAAGGAAAGGAATGGATAGGATTAGTTAAAGTATCTTACAACGTTACGTTCTGAATAGTTATAGTTTCTTAATACTAGTAATCAGAAAGTTCTTTGACAATAGATTCCTGAAACAAGGAGTAAAAAAGGATCAGAATCCTTAAATCAGAGATTAAGGATATAGAGGAGACTGATAATTCACCATATTTCTTACAATACAAATAATTATTTGTAAAGTAAATAGGAACCTGCTATAGACTGCTCATTAATTAATGAGCAGTCTATAGCAGGTTCCTATTTACTTCTGTATTAAATCCTATTGGGTTTCCACTTGAGTCACCTCCTGTACTACCTGCATTCCTTTTAATGACGTCACAATTATGCTGCACTTGCATTCTCCGTTTAAAAATATACTTCGTTCTTGGAATATTCACACTTCGGAGAACATTTTTTGTGCACCTGCTCTTGAATGAACCTTTAATTGTGAACAGATAACTAATGGCCCCATCAGTTACAACGACAGTTTACTTTTTGTTTCGTCTTGACTTATTCGAAGTAATTAATGATGTTTCTACAGTAAACAAATAAGGTGTGTAGTGTATCTTTTATGACTACTATTTATCAATTTCTCAACAGCATGATTAATGGTAATGATGTAGGTAGTTAGAGATTAATTATTTGTTAAAATTCGATATCTAAATATATAAGTATAATTATGAATACCAATTGAAATCATAAAATTGCTGAAATGTAAATTATGTTATTAAGCATACTGGAGAAAGGATATTACGTAATATTTCTAATGTTGTCAGATGATGATGACCTCCATATCAAGGGATATGACGATTATATTCAGCCCAAACATTCTTATAACATTAACATATAAAGTTTAATTTTTGTATTTGTAAAATATTTAATTTTTGCTAATATACCCATAATAATATTAGTGAAAATACCATAACAATTATAATATAACATTATAATTGCATCAATAATGTAACACGATAATCTTTATAACACGAAATTATCTGCAGACGGTAATAATATAAATTATTTTAAAGATACCAATGTCGTATATACCTATATTTAGATACTTATAAATACACAGCGTCTATAAGGTAATGTTTTACTAGTCTAGCCAAGTTTCTGTAAGAAATACTTCCTAATAAATAGTTGTCGTGTTAAATTAAGTTAATATTACTTATATGTAGTTGTTGTGTTAAATAAATATACTAATGCATAAATATATTAAATGTTTGCTCATACCACCTTACTTGTCCGAAATTAATATACGTCTAATGTAGTGTATGTGTGTAGAAGTCTTCTAATGTATAAAATTTTCGTGTCACAGTGTTTGTAACAAATATCTCCGAAATGGTTCGATTCTTCTGAAATTTTGTGTGTATATTCAGTAGGTCTGAGAACTTAGGACGCAAAAATATTTTTCATACCCTGAGAACTTAGGACGCAAAACTATTTTTCATACCCCTAAGTGTCAAGGTCCACACCAAAGATAGTTGTTTTATATAAAGAGATATATTTATTTTATATTTTATGATTCAGCTTTAAAAACACACAGAACCCTAAATTTTCATCCTCCTATCGTCAGCCCCTATTTTTAATAGCGATACTTTAATAAATTTCTACTATCAGTGGTCGATCAGTGTTTAAATTATATGACAAAATAACGTTTAGCTAGTGTATTTATACAAATAGTAAATAACACATTGATATGTTTCAGAGCGTGCTTTTTTCCTTGTACATGTATGTAGAATCATATAGAAATAAATGATTGACTTAAGTAAGTTGTGTGTAGAAGATTTTCTAATTTTTCTGCTAACGGTTTGAGCTAATATTTATACTCAAAATTGTCTATTCAAATAAATTCAACATACAATAGCAGGGATATTGGTTAGTATAAACCTCATTTAAATGGTATCAGAGTTAGTATACGAAACAAAATAGTTTATGAAACAAAATATATTAACGAATAAAAAAAATTTGTTTATTATCATACACAATTGTATATAAAAGATTTTTCGGTAGATTTATTAACCAGTACCTAAGCAATAAAGCTACCTAGTAAAAATATACAAGTTTTTCTATGAATTATGCAGCTATTGATTCCATGAACAAAAAATCGATGACCTACTAACTCGAGTCACGGTACTAAGTCAATTTCATGTTTTGCTTTGAAACGGAAATAAAACTATTATATATTGATATTATATTGCATTAGAATATAAATAATTTAGAAATAAGAAAATTCAGAAACTTATTGTGTAATGTTTTGATAAATAATAATAACTGAGCTGTATACACATAAAACTTTAAATTCGAGGTTAAATGAACAAAAGGTAAGTATGGTATTTTGTTTACATAAATAGTATTTATTCAATAAAAATGTGATTATCTAATATAGCTATATAGAAAAACCATTTATTCGTTAGTTACAAATCATAGCACAATTACACTTTTATAAATGTTGTATAAAGAATTTTGCATAACGTAGAGCTTCATTGATTTTTGTACTCTGCGTAAAAAGTATAATCACGAAGTGTTCAATTAGCTTGTAGCACTAAAGCATGTAATGACGTAAAGGGAATCTTTAACTGCATAAGAAATTAAATTACGAGTAAATATGTCCTCATTTAGTCACAGAGTTTATAGCTGATTGGCAATGAATGAGCTTGTAATGTCCGATGTGCGTGTTAATACCTCGCGAACCCACGTACAAATCAACTCATTGTTTGTTTTGTTCTACATAAATTATACATTAATATATAAATGTTATATATTATATTATTT